GGGGGGGGGCATTTCATTGGCCCAAAGCCCCATGTCCTCATAATGGAGCGGGGGTCTTTCATTCCCCCATTTTTTTTTTGTATCAAATGAAATCTTTTATTTTAGGATGGAGAATAAGGGGTTTGCTCCATCTCTGACTGTCTGAGTCTTTGATATTGTTTGGTTAGGATCAAAGCCTGGGCAACAGAAACCTTATCTTTGATGAATTGCACCAATCTGTTGAGGATGTATGACCCAAACAATAAAATGAGCAGGAGGATGATTAGGGGGCCCATAATGGTGGAGACAAGGGTCGTAAACCATGGTGACCTTTGGAACCATTTTTTAAATCATCTCTGTTGAGCATGGCTACTTGGAGCTGTCTGAATTGGCCGATTTCCATAAGGGCTGCGGTCCTGTATCTACCCCAGTAGCTATTTTGTCCATGGTAATTTTTCCCAGTAACAGGGTCAGCGTCAGGGAAACAGGCTCTCTGGTGATGTCCCTCCTAATGTCAGGAGGACTATTAGGGGGATCAAGGGGACCCCCGGGTGAGTCTTATCTTTAGTGGGTTTGGAGAGCGTTGAACTAGATGTCTCGGTGCCCTCAGCTTCGTCGGGTTCCTTGGCAGCCTTTATATGTGACGCGTGGACCCAAGCCGCTATCTCGTCAACCTCGGCTCTAGGTTCCTGGATTGATGGCGTCGGACCCAGACAGAGTCCCCAATCTTGAATGGGTGAGGCACCACCGGGCGGTTCAGTTGTTCCCGGCAGGCAGGGGTTTTTACACCGTCTTTTGTATCAATTGGAGGGCTAGTGGCAAAAGAGGAGATATCAGAGTAAAGGAAATTTATAATTGGTGGGGGAGCCCCATACATGATTTTAAACGGGGTTAGGCCATGAGGCCCAGGAGTATTTCGGGCTCGGTAAAGGGCTAGGGGGAGTAGGAGCACCCGATCTCTAGTGCCAGTTGCAAGCGTTAATTTGGTTAAAGTTTTCTTAATGGTTTTATTTGTACGTTTTACCTGTCCTGAGCTCTGGGGGCGGTATGTATAATGAAGTTTTTAATCGATCCCCAGTAGCCTGGCCACCTTCTGACTTACCTGGGAGACAAAGGCGGGCCCATTGTCTAACCCCAATATCTGGGGTATTCCATACCTGGGAAAGATGTCATCTAGGAGTTTTTTGGTTACCACGTTAGTGGTCTTTTTTTTTTTTTTTTTGGTAGGCAAGGCCTCTGTCCATCTATGATGTAAGCTTGTCGCTCGGGGCTTTATTTTACCCCCATTTTTTTTGTTAGTTCCTGGTCCTCCAGGCTTTTATCATCTGGAGGGCCTGGATCAGCGCGATCAGCTCTGTCTTTTGGGCCGATGTTCCAGGTGGCAGTGGTGAGATCCAAACTATCTCCGATTCGGTGGTGACGGCTGCTCCGGCCCTCTGTTTTCCTTCTTGGAGGAAGCTGCTCCCATCCGTGAACCAGGCAGTAGGGTTGCGGGGTTGAGGGAGACAACTGGTCTGAACATCATTTGATCTGGGGGCTGCTGGACCAGAGCTTTCACCGCATGGGAGGATAACACAGTTAATGGCTGTCCCAAAGTTAGTTTCCCTGCATCCTTGAGCAAAACAGCAATGGCGGCTACCACGCGCAGACAGGGGGGCGGGCCATCCTGCAGCTACCGGGCTTTTATGGCCCCAGTCTCTGTACCAACATTTTTTTTTGTAAAGCCTGAGTTCTCGTCCACGAACAGTTTAAAGGGCTAGAACTTGTAGGGGGGTCCCTTTGGGTCCTGTCCAGATGCCAGCTGAACCTTTTTTTTGGTGGTCCTTCGATACCTGTGGCCCCCTGGACCAAAGCTGTGCGGTCACTGAGAGAGCCTCCGGTATGGGTCAGGACTGAATGTTGAGCCCCGGTGTCCACTAGGAAGGTCACTGGCTGCCCCCCAATCTTGAGAGTTATCCTAGGCCGGGGGGGGGGGGCTCCTGGCCGTGACCTCCCCAATCCTCCAGATTGAGGACCCTTGGCTTAGGTCTCCGAGACCCTTGAGCTTTTTTTGATCAGTCACGAGCCCAATGTCCTCTCTGTTTACAGTAAGCACACTGGTTTTTGTCAAGCAGTGTTTTTTTTTTTTTTGATTTTTTGTCCTAACTCCCTCTCTGACCTGTCCCTGAGACATTACAGTGGCCAGGACTCTTTTTTTTTTTTTGTTTTTTGTTTTTTTTTCCCTCCGTGTCTCTCTAAGTCTTTTTTTTTTTTAAAAAAAAAAACGCTGCTGGCGTCTTTTCCTGGTAACCTGAGCCGAATCGGTAGGGGGTCTAGAGCCCCTCGGAGACCCGCTAAGAGCAACTGGCGATAGAGACGTAGGTGTTCCCTACCTTCGGGGTCGCCGTTTCCGCTGTAGAAGCTGTTCGGAGGCGCGGCGGGGGCTGCCGGTCCCTCCAGCGCTGTCGGGGGGGCTGTAACACTCGGGACGGGGTGACTCGGCGTCCACGGGTGACGCCGCCCCCGAGTTACCTTCTCCACACCGGGCCGGAGCCGGTCGCGGCACATCGCTGCGGTGGAAATGCGCTCAGCGGCGGCTGGTCGCCGGCCCCGCCCCTGGCCCCG